CTATGGGTCAGAAATGACTCGATGGCACTTAACAACAATAACAACCAACAGAGGGGGGTGTAGTCCTCCTTTGGTCCCTTGTCCTCCTGGTAGCCAGGGGCGTGGCCTGTTCCATCATCACCAGTGCAGTGGCCAATGGCAGTCCCTCCTGTGCAGGTATGGCTGGGGACCGAGCATACAATTCCTTCTTACAAAGGCACTTGAACCTGCTCTAACTAGACTACACAAACAGTGATCAGAGAACTGTGTTCAGACTTCCAGTCCCTATTGCATCCACCAGGATGAGAATACACCAACACACAATCACACCAAATCAATAGAAATATAACAATGCCTCGAAGAAAAACAGACAATTGCAGCTTACTGGAAGAAACAAAAGTTCTTCAAACAAGGACCAAAATATAGAGGCAGGAAATATACCAAAACTGGTATCAGAATGACAAGAATGTTATTTAGGCACACTCAAGAATTGAGAGAAAGATTGATGAAAGCAAAGAAGAATTCAGGAAAACACTATTAAGAACAAACTGCAAAATAAGTGAAAATTTCAAAATCATACAAAACATCAATGTGAAAGCCAGAAGAATACTAAGACTTCAGAGATATGATCATATTGAAAGGGCAAAGAGACAGAACTGAATCAATGAAAGGCCAAATCAGTGAGCTTGAAGACAAATCTTTCAATACTCATCTCTGAAAGGAACAATCAGAATAAAGAATTTAAAAATCCAAAGAAAGTCTAAGAGTTATGTGGAACACTATCAAGAGAAATAACTTGCATGGGATTGGAATTCCAGAACAAGAAGAGCTAAAAAGAACATAGAGAAAATTTTTGAACAGTTATTGTAAGAAAATTTCCCTATCATCATGAAAAACAAGACAGCCATTCAAGAAGTTAAATGAACTACAAACAGAATAAATCCCAAAAGAAAATCAAACTTTCAATTCCAAAAACAAGGAGAGAATCCTGAGAACAGCTCAGGAAAAATGAAAAGTTACATACAAAGGACAGCTAACAAGATTAAGCTCTGATTTCTCCGCAGAAATCATACAGGCAAAAAAGACAATGGGAAGACATATATAAAACTCTGAAAGAAAAAAACCTGCCAACCAAGAATCGTTGTTGTTAGGTGCCATCAAGTTGGAACTGACTCATAGCGACCCCATGCACAACAAAACAAAACAATGTTGGATCCCGGGCCAACCTCACTACCGCTGCCACACTTGACGCCATCATTCAATGCTGCCACCTGGCCAATCCATCTTGTTGGAGGTCTTCCTCTTTTTCTCTGACCCTCCATCTTACCAAGCATGATTTCGTTCTCTAGCGACTGTTCCCTCCTGACAATATGTCCAAAGTATGAGAGACGAAGTTTGGCTATATTGGCCTGTAAGGAGCACTCTGGCTGCACTTCTTCCAAAA